TTTTGTGTTGTTGTTTTATGTGTGGCACTTAGAAATTATTCCCACATTAGAGTTTTTACAGGCCAATAAACTTGAGAAAATCGGACCAAATTGGCTGGTCATATTTAGTAGCTTTATAAGGAAAAGGTGCAATTGTTTCAGGGGAGTGCGCAATTGAGGGAGCGGGCATAGGTGAGGGTTACAAAATCGTCATCACGCTCTGGAGGGACACTGCCATTTTTGTCTGCTTCTCAGGAGTTTCCAGTCCCCATGAGGAAATATGGGGTGTATTATAAGATGCAATAAGTTCATTTTATTTCACATTTCCGAAAAAAAAAATTAACTTTTACAATGTGGTAAAATGTAGCCTGACATAAAACCATCTGTCTGGCATACAGCTTTGCCAGCATATGGGATCCTCTGATGACAATGATTGGGAGTGAAAGAGAAGATCCCCCATGTGTACTCACTACCGACAGAAAAGAGGAAAAGAACAGACCAAATCTGCTCACAATGAATGTTGTTCCGCTGTGATGTGATAGATGGAAGTGTGCAGAAGTGTTACAAAACAAGATTTCCCGTCCATGTGAAATGGATCCTACTGAAACACGGAATAACACCCAAAGAGGTGACAGATGAATATGACTCCCTCATCCCACCTCCCTGCCTCACTTAGTCCCTAATACATAAACGCAGGATAAAGGATCATTGCGCTGATTTGAATTCATTTAGCTTAATTTAATTTTTAAATCTATTGTTTTTTTCTATGAGAAAACAAAGACAAAGTGAAACAGATCATCCCCTCTTTGTCACGGGGTGCCTAAAAGAATCTCTCTCTGTGCCTCTCTCTCCAGTAGAAAGTTCATGCCACTGCATGTTTTTTCCTCTGCTGGGGTTTTCGGCTGTGTGGCATAGCATAAAAGCACTGAGGAGCCTTTCACCGGCTTCATCTGATACCGCTGTGACTCGGAGCAAGAGCTGCACTACAGGCCAGGATCGACATGCATGGGTTAGTAGGTCAAACAAGGAGCTAGTCTTTCGACAGAGTTTGGAGGCTGGGTCAGACTAATGTGATTTATCAATACAGCACATAAGTGAATCATTGTCCTTAATGGCCATGATAATCCCTGAGACAGATTATGGACGTGATTGGTCAATGCGTGGGTGAGGGTGTATAGGCTGTTCTGGACTTGATGACTTGAGCATCAGGAACATGCACCTGCACGGTGTCCATATATCTCCTTGTACTCTTTGTATACACACACACACACACACACACATGCACACACACAAAGATTTACACTTATCGAGGTTTGGCTGATGGGGCCTGGGAGAGAAAAGATAGAGCTCTGTTCCTTGACGCCGGAGCTCCGGCTCAGGTCAAGACTCGGCTCGCTGTAATCCCTCTCAGGTGATGCTGTTCACATTCAGCCGTTTCCAACTGAACTGCTTAAATACGCCTTCCTCATCCCCTAAAAAGCCCCCACATACCCTCAATCAGCACAGCCTCCGAGGATTATTGGATGGGGGGGCACTAACTGCTACTCCAGACTGTCAAATCTCATGTCACTTTTCAGCACGTTTCCTTTAATTGATCAATCCTGTGCTTCACATGAATAAAATAAAATAAAAACTACTGTTTTATGGAATAAAAACAAGTCAGGATGGAAGGCTCACATCACCTGGATTAGAGTGGCATCATGTGAGAAAGCCTTGTTAGCTGACATGCCATCTGCAGGGCTTTTTCACTTTTTCCAAAGGCAAGAGTGGCAAGGCTGATTTAAAAGCAGCCTCTTGGAGCGTTCCCTGTCCACACCAGGCACTTAATCAACGTATTATATTGCGCTGAGGTACCAGGTTCCAACATTAACACTTACACCCACAAACCTGGCACTTTGTGTGAGCTTTCAGCACACTGAGGCCTGATTTCCTAGGGCTTAGAATTACGTATTTTTTAATTACATATCTGCATCCAAAGATGCTTTAATTTTTAAATAAATAAACAACCGTTAACTGATTTCCAAATGGTCTTCTTTTTTGCTCTATTATCTATTATTATCTATCTAATACCTGAGAGTGTGAAGTTTCCACACACTTTTTTTTATGAAAGGACGTATTCAGCCAAAAATTATGTCTATTTTCTGTGTGTTTTGGCATCAAAAATTTGCCACACACACCCTTGTTGCTGACTGTCATCAGCAGGACAAACTGTCATGCATCTCTGACCTCACTCCCTCCACCCTGCTAGACTGCACTGGTTTCATCTAATCACTTTTGTCCTTCAAAACATCTGGGAACGCTGTTGAAGTAACAGGTTACACAGTTGAATATGGTCTGAAACATGCTGCGGCCTGCTGAGAATTCAAATTTGGGATTTCTGGGTAGATGTGGAAGGGTTAACAGTATCACATGGCAACTTTTCACCACTCTTGACTGCCATTACCGATTCATTACCTGTTTAAACAGCTTAGGGCCCCACTGTGTGTCTCTGTTCCTTCAGGCAGCATTGGTACTCTGAGCCTGATTTTATGTAGTCAGCAGGTGGCATCATTAGCCAGAGAATAAAAATGAAAAGTAATACCCTTGTGTCTAGCTATGATATCATAGAATGGCTCATTGGCATCATTTCCCTGCTTCTAGTGGGCAGGATGGGGGTAAGGAGGTGTAAATTTAATATGTTTTGTCATCTGTTTTACATGAAAAAAAATGTATATGTACAATTACCACGGCCAAATCGGAGGCTGGGCCATTCCATGCAGTGAGTGAGCAAGACTAGATCAGCCCAGAAACCACACAAAGATCCCAATCTTGACTCATTTCAGCGGGCTTGAGTCATTTGCAATGGCTGTTTTCTCCTTGACATCCCCTAATTATAATGGCATCCCAATCCCTTACACCTCACTTGGTCATGTGGCTACATGTACACACTATATTAAAGGCAAAACTTTTTTTATGCATGTGAAACTGAAAAAGGGCATTGTTCAATTATGTGTTTTGTTAAGCATTAAAACAGTTGCGCCTGGGGAAGCTGCAGTGTGGCCAAATTGAGTTTTGAACGTGTCTGGGTCTCAACACTCCTGAACCGTTTGGATAGCTCCCTGTGCATGCCAGACAGGCTGTGTATAAAGCTGTCACAGGAACCTTGAGGACTAGAAAAATATTCAGGCATTTCTGGGCTTATTGGACAATGATCTCTTACACATGCTTCTTCCAATATAACCGTGATAAATAAAGGAAGGAAGCAAATACCAAAAAACTTGGCTGGCTGCCACCGCTTGCTAGAATGGCACTTTTGGCCCAATGTACTGTTTCCCCCCAAAACACACACACACTTTCAGCATTACTGTAAAACCTGTACATATTTGCATGGGATTCGCTTAACAAGTGCAAGATTAGTTGTGAGAGCTGGCGGTAACAATGTGTAACTTTTAGCACTCAGCCTAAAGTGGTTCTTGAGGTCAAATGTGTAAGTTAACCTCTTGATCTTATCCCCACTGGTTAGCCCAGTGCACCAACACCCCCTCTCTCCCTTTCTCTCTCTCACACACACACACACACGCACACACACGCACACACACACACACACACACACGCACACACAGATAAAAAGGCAGCAAAAGACAAAGTTAGGAGTATTTGCTACTTGACCATCCAGATATACCCTCCAGATTTAAACAGTTCAAAAAAAAGATTGATCACACTAATAAATGGCATTTTGTCTCCTATATACTATCTGGCATCACATAGTCCTCAGAGAAAGAAACACACACAGGGGCTGAAAAACGTGTGTGTGTGCCAGTACCCCGCAGTGATTGCCTGATTATTTGCAGATGGGCAGTGGAGGGCTTGCAGAGTGTGGAGGTTCCCCCTGGCACGCAGCGCATATGATTAAATCTGTGATTGCCTCACAATTTGCAAGAACCCCTCTCCCCTGACTTTAAATGAGTTTTTCTACTGTACTACCGCACTGCGCGGGCTGCTTAGTGCTGCCCAGAAGTCCGCTACATGGCCCCCGTGCGCGACTCTGACCACGTCTCCTCTCATGGTAACCCTGAGGGTCTTGATGATGCGTTATGTCACAGGTCTGAAGAGGGCTCGGCGGGGGCCACTTCCCTAATCCCACTGTCTCCTCATTCATTCAGAGTATAGAGTAGTATTTACAAAGGGGCTGATCCCCTCCTCAACTCCTGCGCCTCCGCTGAGCGATTGTTATGTGGCCTTACCAACTGTTCAAAGTGGTTATGAGATCAATTAAAACCAGCTTAGGGGCCTGGAGTGGAGATGTGCAACTCATAAGTCAGAGAAAGGGATTGCGTATCTATTCATTAAATAACTCCAACAATACGACCCCCTTCCCTCCTATAAGCGGCCAGCTCTCTATAGACGGATCCGCACCAGCAGTTTCGCATGTAACAAATATAGGGAGCCCTTTGTTGGGGCCACAACATCAGGAAGTAGTGTTAATAGCCCGTTTGACAGCGTGGTCTAAATACGATAAGCCAATTCACTGACGCAACATTTTGTTTTAATATTAATATTGGACCGCCAAGAGCTTGGCCATTTTTGCGCACATTTTACGCGTTAGCTACAGGCTCTGAAATCGTTACATAATGTTGAAAATCTTCTGTTTCTAACTTAATAAATTACATCGGATGCTGCGACACTGAGTTGTGGATTAGATTACAGTTGTCTTTCAGCGTGAATTTCCGAAGTGCTCCTGAATTGCAATCTGTGTTGGATCGGACATTCTCACCTGTGCGTTTCAACAATCAATATGAGATAGTTGACAATATATGATGCCATTTTTACTGACTTCCCGCATGCTCTGTGCGCATTGTGCTCTCTCGGAACCTACAGAGAATGTACACACTATAGTAGGAAGGAGACGGACTTTAACAAAATGCAAACCTCGTTTAGAACTGTTGCCGTTGCCTCCCGTGACCCACACAAACTCTTCAGCCATCTGTTAAAGTCAATCCCTGATGCTGCCCTAAGACCTGTAGGTTACAACCCCGTGTTACCTCTTTTGTTTCTCCTCCAGCGGTGCGACGGCGCCTGACAGTTGCTGTACTCCATACAGTTCAATACGATCAGGGCAAATGAGAAGAGTCGAAACTGCATCTGGACGGCGATCAGTTGTTCGGACTCCAGTAAAAATGTGCCAGCAGGGCTCGGGTTGAATTCTCTGACTTTGTAATGTCCACCTCCAGTTTCTTTAGCCGATCCTCAAACGTGTCAAACATCAGACGAGATGCGACATGGTATCACGTCGCCGATTGGGATCATTTTATGAATTGCGCTGACCCTCCTGTTACTAAAAGTGCCCGTTTTGGTGCGCTGCGGGGAGAATGACAAAGGAGGTTACTGTGATAACAGTGTAATGAAATCAACACCTTCCTAAACAATAATGCATGGGGGCGATAAGAGGGGAATTAAAACAAAAAAATTAATAGCTCTTCTGTGTGTTAATGTCTTGGAAGGATCACAGATGCAAAGGCAATGCGTACTGCTGAAACAGCCCCTCCAAAAAAAAGCGCAACCGTGCGTAATAGTAGCCAAGCCGCTCCGTCAAATATCGTGTCGGTGTACAGGCTACCTTGCATCAGATGAAGTGTTATTCCGCTCCGGTCAACTTTTAGGTTCCCTCTGAGTGCAAGTACGTTTCGGGAACATGCAGCATCCCTCTTTGTGTGGGAAACTTGTGTCTCCAGGAGAGAACGGAGGTCCGAGGAGGAGAAAAAAGGTGGTCGTGGGGACGCGCGGAGTGGTGGGGGTGTGGGTTCCTCTGCTCCTATCTGTAAAAGCTTAGATTCCGTTTACCTGCGTTTCCTCACTCAAGCTTTGTTCTGTCCGCAGACTGTCCTGTAGCGCAGTAGAAACAAACTCACATGTGTTGCTTTCCTTAAAGCGGAAAAGGAGAGCCGGTGAGCGAGTGTGCGACTTTTACGCGCTGCTGAGGTTGAGCGGTGACTGACTGGTCCTGATGCTTGCTGCCTTTTCCCTCTTCATATAGCGCCGTGCCGCCGTCACGTGTGGAGATTTCTAGTTTTGTGTTTCTTCTTATTTAAGATGGTGAAGATGACATTTAGTGGAGTCTCACCCCACCTCACACCCCCAACCCCCCCGCACTCACCCACATTGGCTGGTACGAGGTTGCCCCTGGGTCCTAGTGAGCGTGTAAAGCGGGAATGATCCCACAAAGTTAATGCATTTTTCTTTTCTTTATTTTTAGGTGATATGGGATTGCAGTTCGTCTGCGGCAGGCAATGGTGACTTTATTGTAGTTTATTTCAACATGCAGAATATTCAAAATCCTAACCTCTCCCCCTTCTTATGGACGTTTATACGTTTCAAATTAAAGTTTAATGACCCCTCTCAATTGGAGATCAAAAATTAACTGCGTTAATTGCGACAGCGCCGATCTATCTCGATTCAGCTCTCTCCCGCTGACGATAGCCCTATTGAATAATTAGAGGTTAGCCAATAAAAGCAATTATCTGCATAATGAGGTGGGCCCGCATCTCGTCACGCCTCTTTATGCTGCACCCAGGACTGCGCTCCCCTCCTCTGAAATGACTGATAATCATTCGCTAGTCTGTAATTGTGGAACATGATGCATCATTCAGTAGATTTAGGGTTTTCCAGGCCCGGAGCTTTAACACTGACCCACGCGACCTCATCGACGGAGACAGAACCAATTTACCTTGGTAGGAGAGACACGAGGGGTCTGGCAGCCATCCACTCCTCGGTGACATTCAAATGCTGGCTGTACGTCTATTACCAATCAAGAGCTGAAATGTGCCAGCAGTGTGATGAAAGTTAGTGACAGAATGTGCTAGGAGAAGAATCAGTGTAATGATGCATACATGTGAAATAAAAATACTTGATCGTCATGACATTTCTGGTACTATTTTATCACCCCAGCATCTGCTCCATCCACATCCTGATTGGTATAACAAGTTGTGAATGCTCTACCCGCCTTCAGCCACTAGGTGTGGCACTTAATCTTTTATTTTTTCAGGAAATGATTTTCATGAGCGCGCTATAGTACTGTCCATGCATGTAATTGTACGTCAGCCAAACTAGTGTGAAGTCAAGAACGATACACAGCCATTCATAAGACATAACATATAATGACAATGTGCGTTGAAAAAATAAAGAATACAAAACAAACAATAATTACATGTTTATAACCAATGTGTGGTTCCCATTACAGAATTCACACAGACCTCCCATCTTAACCTTACAAAATGTCATTTACACGCTGGTTTCACACTTTAGACACCAGATTAAACAGTGAAAGGAAGAGATTTCTACCCTCAGACAGTAAAACATACTCTCACACACACAGAAGTTTCCATTTTGTCACTGGAACTGACTGAATAAAGTATGTGTAGGCCTGTGTGTGTGTGTGTGTGAGGGGGGGGGTTCCTTGCCAAAACCTATAGTGACCTTTGTCTTGCCTATGTTTATTTATTTATCCAGAGAGCAGTGACAGACATTGTGGTCAGGAAGGCTGTTAGCCGCAGGCTGTGCCGTTGGTTTGGATTCCTCTCTAAAACAACATCTGAGAGTGCACGGTTAAGGTGAACGTGATAATTTAGGCCTCAGGCACTTTTATTTTCATGATGTGTCATGGAGAAGGGGCCGGTAAACCAATCACTTTATTCTCTCCATCCCTCCTCTCCTTTTCTCTTTCCCTCCCTCCCACACGTTGCAGTGCACGTAATTGGAGGTGACGTCAGCATTTGGGCCGGCCTGGCTTGGAGCCCTCAGCGCCATCCCAGCAATGAGGGGAGCTGCTTTACACTCTGTTCATCAGTGCCCCAGACTGGATGGTCTTCAGTGTGGGCTGATGTCACAGTTTGCTAGGTAGAAAGGGGAAATAAAGTTCCAGGCCACAAGGCCCATTAGTCGGAATCTCGAAAATGTCACAGGGAGGATGAGAGCGAGGCAAACAACAGAAAGTTCAAGTTATACTTAGCAACTTTCCATGTTTGTGGCTCCAAATGGAAAGAGGCGAGCTTCAATGTCCAGAAATAATCTAACAGGACGCTCGCAAACAAAGCTGAAACATTACAGTCCACATGTAGGGTACAAATGCACATTTATAGTCATCATAAATCTGGTTAGTAGCTGTTGAAGCTTATATTGAAAGAAAAAAGAAGGTAATTTAAACATCTACCAAAAGGCAACTGGAACTCTTCATCTGTTGATAAGATCATGTGCTATGATCTAAAGCTCCAGAACGGTTATTAAATGAACCCTCAGGTGGAATGGTTTGCTGTATCCAAAGGTCAAGAATCAACTATGAACCTTAACCATAAATCTAATTTATCATAACCTATTAAAGTTTATCCAAAATCTATCTCCTGAAACTCAACCCCTGTAGGCCTGACAGGTGGCTTAAAAAAGGTTGCTTTTCCACTCCTTCACAGAGAAAGGAAACTGTAGTCGGCTTAAATATCCATGGTGGCCACAAAGGATTTTGTATAATGAAGGTAAATGCTCCTTTAAAATCAGCTTCTCCTACAAGCCCTGGGGTGCACCATGAACATTTCTGACAAAGTTTGAAGAGTTTTGGTTGCTTCATCCGAGACAGATGTCTATATTTCTGTTTTTATTTGTGTCCTCCCCCTCACTGGATTGTAGCAGGCCGGCTTTGTTGTAAAAGGGTGAAACCAATCAGGAGTTGAATCAAACCAAGCCAGAGAAGTTTTTGATTGCGCTCAAACCCGGTGTGTAAAGGTGGGTGCTGAATCCTCAAAAGCAAAAATAAAAATAAAAAAAGCACAGCACTCCACTTAAATTGTTTATTCATGCATTGCACAGTCTGCTCCTGATTTTTAATAAATGATGCCTTGGGATGTTTTCTTTCCTGAACTTTGACTGTTTATCTACTTAAGTTATGAGAGAAAAATTAAAGATCTGGAAAAAAAAAAAAAACAACAAAAAAAACTTTACTCCTGAAAACAAGTTTTGTGAGCTCCACCATTCAGACAGGCCGCATTTACCACTTGAAGCGCTGCAGCTGGCAGCCAGGAAAGACTTACTGTAGGTAAACACAAATCAAATGGAAACAAAAACAGAACAGTGCTGAATGATAGGAGCTTTAGGCTCTGTCCATGAATCCAGACTAGATGCAGAAATTCAACTGCACGTGAAACAGCACTGACTGACAAAGAGGTGCAGTGCCATTCCCTCTTAAAAGGGGTGTTTATTGCCAGTTTTGTATGGTCATGGGGTAATGGTTTATCTTGTACTTGGTTAAGTTTAAGGGCTGAAAACTTCAGGCCCATCTCAAAAGGTATTCAGAGACAATACATATCCTACATACAACTCTTATTGTCCTGTTTCTTCTTTGAACAGAACAATGTCACACTTCTGTTTCAGTGTGTTTGTAGTCTGATAGATCATTTAATGAGGTTGAAGTAGATATGCAGGTTATGAGACACTCTTTGTACTTTTGATTTAGCCTGACAAAGCAAGAGCATTTTTACATAAAATCCTTTAGTCATTAAATTATATGTAAGATGAGAGAATTAAGAGGCAATGTGAAGGAATGAAGGCCTGTTTGCGAGCAACTGTGATAAAGGAGGAGGTACGGAGGACTGAGTTACGAGAGGTCGAAAGCAGAGGAAAGCAGGGGGTGGGGTGGGACATTAAAAAGATTGTGTCCGTCTGGCTAATGGTTCTTTATGGCTCTCTCATGTCCTCAGATGGGTAGGATGACTGGCAGAGAGTGTGACCACTGGTAACTGTACATCACCTCTGTTTGCCCCCTTCAGCTGACGTTGCAGTGAGATGACCTGCCACAGGGAAGCAAACCACTAAAAACACCATAAAACCAACAGACTAAACAGCCATTCATCATTAATGCGCACACATGAGCCGCATCACACGCAGCAGTCTTAACTGTCCCACTCAGTGACTCAATGCGCACATTAAAACTTCATCAAGTATTACTGATACAAAAAAATCTGACCACTCAAACCTCAACTGCTGTTTGTAATGTCCAGAAATAAGGCAATCACGGGTGAAAATGGTTTTGTTGGTCACTTTTATTGAATTGGCGATGACTTGAACCAAGTGCAAAGCTGTACTGTGCTCCATGAGAGGCAAGTGTGGAAAAAAGATGTAACAAAGTGAGTAGGATGGATCCATCTTCATTGTGTCACTAGAATCCCGTTTCCTGACCTGCCCAGTTTGGTGTCTGGAAGAAAAGCATGAAGAAAATGTAAAGATTAGACCATTTGTAGACCAGTGAGACCGAGCAAAACAACAACATTTTTGTTGGTGATTGAGGGAAATGTGAAAAAGTAACATCCATGTGCAAGCAGTTAAGTGCTGACGTTTTCCTTGTTGGAGCATGTGATGTGTGTGTTCTGTTGATGAGCGCTGGGTGGCTGTGAGAGTTGACAGGGACCCTAAGCAGCCGGCCCAGATGGTAAGCAGTAAATGTTCTCTATATGTAAGTGATTTGTAGCCTTGAGGACAGCAGGATGTAAATGGTGCTCTGTGAGCTGTTTGCTGCCTCTTTTGTCTAATTACAAAAACTCCTTAATGGGGGGAGGGGGGGGGCTTTGCTTTTTTACAGGACAGGGTTATGGCAGCACTCCTGCTGCAGATATTCAAACAATAAGGAGGAGGGTAATTGAGCACATCAAAAGATAGCCACTCAAGAGCTGCACAGTTAAAAAGTGAACATTTAACTTCTCTGTTGTAACTTGGTGCTTGGTCAGGTGTCGTGCGAGGGACCCACCCATCAATCTGCTTTGACAATGTGCTTGTCTTTAAGGAGGGGGGGGGTTGTGTTCAGCAACAGCTACAGTTCAGAGTATGTGCGTGATTATGACATTCTGTCTACTTGGAACACTCTACATACCACTAAAACGCACAAGGTCAACATCAAAAACACACTTAAATGGATGACTGGACCCTGAGCCAGACATCTGCAACAGGTCCTAAGTGCAGGGAACCCCAGGCTTTGAGTAATGTTCACCAAAAGCCAGTGTGAGGGTCCACCTTATTTACATTGCTGAGCT